GCCTCAGGAGAAAAACAAACAACAAAACATCAACAACCAATAATCACTCACACAGAGAAAGTATTTACAACCAAATGTGATATTCATCACTGAATGCAAAATTCTACATCAGTATTGTTAGAAAGACCACAGACATTTCTATTAGAGTTAATATCTGGTGTTTGACATGGAAAACTCTCAGGAAACAGTGGTTTCATACATTCAGTGCAACTTCCATTCAGATGGAATCAAAATGCTGGAGACAGAAAGAATCCAGCACTGCAACACTGATTCCCAGCATCAATCCAGTCCTATTGAGCAGTGTTAAAATAAATGGAACGCACTGCCAAAAAACAAATGATGTTGACAAATGTAACTGTTGCATAAAGAAATTGGTAACAGCTATCCAAATCACTGTCTTTCCATACCAAAATAACAAAGGACCTGCGACATAATGCCTAAGGTGGAGAAGTATTGTTTATACTACTCAGCATAAACAGTGCTGAGGAATGGAATGGAATCTTCATATACACGAGGTAATGTGTGTTCATCCCAAAGAAAAAATGGTTAACAACTATTCTGGGTTCCTAAAACTGTTTTGAAGTTGATCATATTGTTACTTAAAAGCAATGAAGAAAAGGAGAGGTATTATCAGATGATCATTAAGTCTTCCGAAACAGATTAAATAATCATTAATTTATTCCTATTATAATTACACATTGATTGTCTACACACAATTTCTAATTACAAGAGTGCTAACAACCAGAATTCAGTTGTTTTTTTTTTTGTTTTTTTTTAAGGGAAAATATTCATGGTTCCCTCAAGAACACCAGCTGTTTTCTTGCAAGATTGCCAAAATCAAACCACAAAACAGCTAAGTGCAAAATTAATGATAAGTATATTACAGAAAGCCAATGAACCATCACATCAGTATTACACAAAAGACTGATTCATACAGTAGCCCTTTCTCTATGGTTTATGGATTGCAAGCAAAATAGTTTCATAAGCAAAGAATGTTAAAAATCCACATAAGTAATTATCTAGTTATGCTGTTAAAGGCACTAGCACCAGCAACAGAAGTTTTGTATCAATACATGAATCTATCCTAATCAGACTGTTTTGTGGCTAGTAGAACATTTAGGGGGGTAGAGGGGAGAGAGGAAGGGGGATAAAGGCGAAGGGTGGAAAAGAGAGAAGGGAGGGGACTGTGGAAAAATCCCCCAGAGCCCAAAAAGACAGCAACTATTTTGTGCTCGATCCAAAGCCTTTGAAGTTAACAGAAAGTCTTCAATTAAACTGCACAGGACTATGCATCAGGCCCCTTTCATGATTTAATGCATTTCCTCAGATTAAATTCAAGAGAATAGTGACATTTTAAAATATATTTTTCATTAAAAAGTACGTGTTGTTTTTTTTTTTTTTAATAAATTAAAGCCAAGATCAAAGAAGTACATTTATTAACATCAACTCAAATAGAAACCTTTCTATTTTTCAGAGATAGAAAATACAGATGTGACTGTCCGTCCTTGGACGCAGCTATTTGGTTGAAATTCTGCTTGATTTAGAAACGCCATCTTCCCTTCTTTCTATGTCACAAAGCTAAAAAGTACTTGAATTATCTTTAAAATTTCCTGCTAAGGAAATTTATGTTTTTAAAGGTAAGAGTATTTTTTAGAATAATTATTATTGTTGTGTAACCATGTCCTACTCATGTCTCGTAATCCAAGACTACCATTTTCTGATACAATCTGAGGAACCTCGTGCTCCAAATAGCTATTTAGCAATTGTAATGCTGTACATTGATTAATACCTCTAATATCACAGCCTTTCATAAAATGCTTCCAACAGACTGCACTGTCATGGTAAATTTACGAGCACTGTGACTACCCTACCCTTACTCTTTTTTGGTTCCAGATGAGATACATGTTGAGGGGTGGGACACAAACTCATATAGGCAACGGATGTTAAATTCACTCACCTTCAAAATAACATCCCAAACTTCAACTATAGCATTATAACCTTGGAGTAACCATTAAAATATGTACACCAAGACATCACTAATGTCATTCCTGCATAATCATCTTAAGTACAGCCATTCTCATCAGGCAACCTAGACTTTCAGTCATCAAAATCATACCATGCTGCTCAGATGAATTCTGGCATATTGCCTATGGCCATGCATTAGATGTCCGTTCTATGAGGGCTGCTCTGAAAGAAATGCCTGCTGTTTTAAGATTTTGGTCCACTACAACAGAAGCAAATGTTGGTGGTACAGCAGTATAGGTTGAACCTCCTCCCCAGTATTCCATTCCATGTTGTTGCTGTGTGACAAATGGCAGCAGAGAGGCAGTCTGATAGAATAGCTTCGGTGAAACAAAGGTGCTTGGCCTTTGTCTGCTCTCAATCTTGCAATGAACAACTTTTTTACCATTAGCTTCTGGAGCACAATAATGATGATCCAAGGCTCCCAGAACAGCTCAGGGACACATGCTACAGTAACCACATTAAAATGCTACACAGATGGAAATCTGTTTAAAAAATTAGACAGCAGGTCTGCCACGTGTTCTTCAATACTAACAACTGGCAAATGTGTCTGTTGCAGACAGCACAGAACTGTGTTCAGAACCTGTAGAAAAGCTCAATGAGAATCTAGAGAATAAAGGTTCCATTTTCAACAGCTGTGACTAAGCACCAACAATAAAGTCCAGCTGCAGTCACATGGCAACATTTAATACCGTCTTTACAGCAGAGTTTACCATCTGTTAATAGCAATTGAGCCAGCTGCAACAATACTCAAAATGGATGTAAAGAATTTCAGCAGAGGTGCACGAAGGACAGCTCACCCACTGCTGCTTCTCTTATATTAATGTGTTAGCCCTGTGATGTTTTTTATAAATTTTATAAATGAAACCCAGAAAACATCTTTTTAAATAGAAAAGTATGCCTATCTTATTCTGAAAAAAATATGCGGAAAAATAGTAATAGAACATAAACTCTCAGTGGGCAGAAGGAATTAAACAAATATCTTGACTACACATCCACTATGCAAAACTAATATTCAGCATTCCACAGTGAATTAAAAGCAGATTGCCTTTTATCAGTGAAAACAAACCTATTTGGAAAATGAAAACAGCCACAGGATGTTTTGCTTCAAATATTTCAAAACTGAAGTTAATGAAAAGGTAAACAGTACGGTTGACATTTCACGGGATCTAAAGAATACTGCTAGAGATAGATTTTTTTTCCCAAATGTTATTATTAATAACTAACTGTGGGAAAAGATGAAATAATACATTGACATATTAACTTTTATTAAAGCACGCAAAAAATACTCCCTTCAGCAGTGGGAATGCTATGGCCAGCCAGTGGTTTCAGTGGCTCAGCTACCACTTGTTATGAGAACTACAACAGTGAAGTTAAACTGCTGGTTTAAAACAGCATCAGAACTCACCCAAACACTTGTTTATTTTAAAATGAGACTCATTCATTATAATAGGTGAGATTAAGTCTTTCATACTGCTGTAAAATCCTACTAGCAGCAGAAAGTGACACAAATAAGAATTTTAAAAAACAAAACAAGTCCATCAAGACACCTGCATTATATGTTTTCAAGGATTGTGGCAAAATAAAAGCCAATTTTAATTAAATTTGGAAAATATACAGTTAGCCATGACTATGAAAACAAGAATTCTATTACCTAAGAGAAATATCCTGGGCTAGGAAAATTTCATAGCCACCTCCTATCCTTTACTATAATCTGCTTATATCTGAAGAACTTCTAGGAAAAGAAATGGATAGATAAAATGAACTGGTAAGACTACCAATACTCCCTTTCGTATTCTTGACAACTGAAAAACTGTCCTCTTAGGCAATTCCAAATATATAAACTTATAAACTCCTTCAAAACAACTGAATCAAGTATTTCATTCTGGGACTTCTATTCTTGAGAAAGCAGTCAGAACAAAGCTGATGCACTGAACATATGATAGATAGCAGCAGAGGGGCAGAATTGTGTCCACCATATCTGCCCCTGCTGTCACGGGCCAACAGAATAAAATAAGATGTATTACTTTTGGAACAGTTATCATACATCAATAAGATCCATCTTGTGACCTCTCTAGTATACTCTAGTATACTCTCTAGTATACTAATTTCATTTTGCTTCAATGATATCCTGTTGCATTCTATGCTAACAACTGAGCTGCACCACATATGGCCATGCTTTGATAGAGTGTAATTACATCACTATAGGAGGAAATGATCAAACACTGCATTAAAACTTTGACTGTGCATGATGTGTTTTGCAGATCGCAGATGCTCCACAGCCCTCAGCTGCCCATCCAGAAGAATTGAGGAGGATTTGGAGGAAAACCTACTGTTTGTTTTACTGATATTTTTGATTCGAAGTCGCTTTATAAGATCGTTTCTGCAACAAATCACTTACAAGGCTACCTTTTTCTGCTCTTTACAGCGTCTTCATTTTATCCCCTCCAGTTATTACTAGTTAGTTAATAGTTGAGTCAGTGGACAGTGGAGAAACACTGTGTTGAAATGGCTGCATTAAAATTTCACCTTTATTTCAGGCTAATGTCCTTTTCACATGGATAAACTTCTCTCTTCCTCTCAAGTACATAAAGCTTATTTTCATCTGTTGTTGGAAGTGTAATTATTTACATTAACTAACTCATGTAAATGTACTAGAAAACACGACTAGCCTATTTATAAAAACTGTGCTTCCTGGTATGCAATTCCTGTTGCTTGATGTTAGCCCACCAGCCTTAATGAAAAGCCACTCGTGCTAAAATAACTATACAGTTTTTTGCAGACGTGCCCTGTTGGAGTGATGACTTTAGAAACAAAAGAAAGATTTATAGTTAAGATCCAATATAACGTACATCACACACTATGCAAATGCAGATAACCCCACTCATACACACGCGTAACTTAAATACATCATCATTAGGGGCTCAAACATTTTCTCACACTCACAGATAAGGAGCAACAAAATCAGCAAACCTTACTTTTCTGCAGATACTTTCAAAATTAACTTCTTTCCTAAGTGCAAGTCTGGTAACTTGGTCCGGCTTTATTTCCTGTGGATGAAAGACATATTTATTCCTTTTATGATCAGACTTTACTATTCTAAGGCTTATCTTCCTTACCAGTACTATTATTTCACGGTATCCTCCACTGATTTCGTAAAGGAAGAAGATCATTTGTTATGTACAGAAATTTTTGATGTTGCTTATGCAAATAATATATTTTCTTATTGACATACACAAATATATAGGGTTAAGCCACGAAATTGAATTTGAAATTAAAACAACAACCCAAGAAAACAACAAAGAGCTCTCCCTTCTCCCTCTTGTGGATATAATGAAGATGCAATTTCCATTTCCAGCCTTAAGAATTTCCATTAGAATGGAATTAGCATGCCATTAGGAATGAAAATCCTGTGCAAGTGGAGTTGGTTAGAAGTTGGATATTTCATGAAACACACACCTCTGACAAATTTTTCATTAACATACATATTATATACAACTTGCATTACAAAACAAACAATCTGTTAACTTGACCAGTAAAATACACTAAGTATTGTCCTTTTCTTCCTAGGTCACTGCATCTAATAAATCATGCAAAACACCAGTTGTTTGCCAGATGGTGACTTTAAAAGCAGTTTAACTTCTGATAATACAGAGCCCAAATAACTTCCATGTATTCATAGTTCTGAAAACTTCGTACAAAGACAGCTAGTTATTCTGATAGTTATTGTGTAGATATTGTTCATATCACTATACTGCAGGTTCCAACTTAAAGAAAATTGAATTTCTGAAACTCTACAAAAGCATATGCCCTAAGTCAAATATAGTAAACTGCAACACCTGTGCCAATTGAGATATTTGTGTCAATATTTGTTAATATCAGAAGAGCTTCCTCATGCTGAGATCTAAAGGTCTGCAAATTCATCTCCCATAGGTACTGGTGGAAGCCCAACCACTTGGCACACAGAACCCAGACTGGAAAAACACTGGTGAATGTAGGAAACTTACACTGGCAGATAGACAGACTGGATGACCTAATAGAATCTAGAGATGGAAAAGACCTATGATTCAGTTTTCCATGACTTTCAAAAGCGTTTTACAGATGGTGAAACTAGGACACAGTGGTTAAGTGACATGCTAATAGTCAGAGTTGGCGAGAAGTTATGAATGAAGAACTGGAACCCAATACTGTTCATTAAATCTAGGTGTTTCTTTATATTAAAAAGAATCTATATAATAATTTATATGATCTTCATTCTACCTCCTCCCCCCACACAGGAAAAATGTGCCTATTTTTTGTTTTTTAAGGATTTAAAAAGCATTCTCTTTTAAAGGGAAGCAAGATAAGTTTCAGCCATACCTGCAGTCCTTCACCCCAGACCCACCAGCAGCTGTGCACAGGACACGTGCTAACCCCACTCTCACTGCAGCTGACTGCTGGAACAGAAGCTGTCCCTTGCTCTAATGACTGAAGCAGTAACCTTCAGCAGCTCCCTGCTCCCCTGGCACAGGCTTGGGCTCCTACATCCTGGTCTGACTCCATTTGCTGACTCTGTATTTACTCATGGTTGTCCCAGCAGTAGCTGTTACTTCTGTGCTTCGTGTTGCACACTGAGACCCACTATCCACTTCCACAACAGTGTCTGCCAGCTATAGCACTTGTGTAATCGGTGCTGGCCACAGCCAGATAGCAGATTCTATTGTAAATGCAGGGTTTCACCTCTTTTCTACAGGAGGAAAGGCACTCAGCAGGCAGTGGAGGTGGACCTCTCAGTGGCTGTTTTTTCATCATCCCTCAAGAGGATGATGGGTAGGCAAGAGACAATAGGCTGATTCCAGACCGTGTTCCATCTCACCATCTATCATGAAGCCCTTAAGAGACAAGAACATGTGCAGGGGAGAGATCTGCGGGCTGGTGCACACAACATGAAGCACAGTGGTCCTCTCACCTCCCTGGTGCTCAAGCCAAGATAACAGGCTCCACAGGGGCAGCAACAACAGGGGTCTGTCAGTCAGCTGGGCCTCGTTACGGCTGCAGAAGATGACGAGGCCTTGAGCTGAGAGTAAGCTGAATGAAGAGGATGTGAAAAACCACTGGAAATAAGAAAACTGCCGGATGTGACAGATAATGCAAGTAGATGGCAATACAGTTACAGATCTCTGAGAGTTATGTGAAGTACAGACAAGCTTCAGAGAAAGCTGGAGGAGTTCTGGAAGTCTCATGGGGAGGAAATCTTACACTTTCAATGGTACATACGTAGACCTACCAGTAACAGCACATACAGTCACATCTATCTACAAAGTCACATCAAAATAACCAAATTTGGGTGTGGTACAACAAAACTGGCAACGATGGGAATAAGAAATTATGGGTGGGCAAACACTAGACTGGGACGGAATAAGGGACAGCCAGAGGCAAGGAAAGGCTGGACTGTGAAATGGGACAACACAGCATGCAGCCAGACAGCTGAGCACTGCTGTGGGGCAGCCCTGCTGCTGCATGTCAAGCACTGCAGGCAGCAATTTCACCCTGTTGCCTATGGAAATGTAACAAAGGCTATTCTTCTGGTTTTGGGTTGTTGTTGTTTTGTTTTTGGTTTGTTTTTTGGTTTCAACGATGTGGTTATTTAAGCTGGAACTGTCTTACACATGACACTTGCAGGCAGAAGAACTTTGGTTTTTTTGACCATGGGGCAATTTACTCAGCTCCTGGCATGACGGCTGCAGATGGAGCTCAACTGTCTGCAAGGGGTAAAAGGATCCTAGCCCACGAGCTGGCGGGCCTCACTGAAAGGTCTTTAAACTAGGTAAGAAGGGGGAAGGGGACAAAATGAGGACTGCTGAGGTTCAGGTAGTTCAAGGTTCAAAAGTGAACTTGATGGGTGACGAGGTGGAGTTCGAGGGGATGGAGTGTGGCAGGGGAATGCTGCCTCCCTGAAGTGTCCATACACTAATGTGTGCAGCATGGGAAATAAACAGCAAGTTGGAGATCTGCGTGCGGTCACATGGCTATGACCTCATTGCGATCACAGAGACGTGGTGGGACAGCTTGCATGACTGGAATGTTGTCATGGAGGGCTGTGTGCTTTTTAGGAAAGATCGGCCGGCGAGGCGGGGTGGTGGAGTTGCTCTTTATGTAAGAGAGCAGCTTGAATGTATTGAACTCCACCTGGGGGAGAGTGGTGTAGCAGTGGAGAGCTTGTGCGTAAGAATCAAGGGGCGGGCTGGTATGGCTGGTATGGTTGTGGGTGTGTGCTACAGGCCCCCTGATCAGGAGGAGGAGGTTGATGAGGCCTTCCACAAACAGTTGGAAGCAGCGTCACGATCCCAGGCGCTGGTGCTTATGGGGGACTTCAATTATCCAGATATTTGCTGGAAAAGCAATGTGGCCAGGCACGCGCGGTCCAGACGGTTCCTGCAATGTGTTGAAGACAACTTCCTGATGCAGGTGGTTGAGGAATCGACGAGGAGAGGGGTACTGCTGGACCTTATTCTCACTAATAGAGAAGGGCTTGTCAGGGAAGTAAAGGTCGGGGGTAGCTTGGGTTGTAGTGACCACGAGATGGTGGAGTTCAAGATCCTGAGTGGAAGAAGTAAAGCAAAAAGTAGGATTGCTATCCTGGACTTTAGGCGAGCCAACTTCGATCTCTTCCGGGGCCTACTTGGAGCTGTCTCATGGGCTAGGGTGTTCGAAGGCAAGGGGGCCTGTGAGAGCTGGTTGGCATTTAAGCAGCTCTTCTTCCAAGCTCAGGATCGGTGCGTCCCTGTGAGGAAGAAATCGGGAAAGGGTGGCAGGAGACCTGTGTGGATGAGCAAGGAGCTCGTGCACAAACTCAAAGGAAAGAAGAAGGCCCATGAAATGTGGAAAAAGGGTCTGACTACTTGGGAAGAATACAGGAATGCTGTCAGGGTCTGCAGGGATGCGACAAGAAAGGCTAAAGCCCGCCTGGAATTAAATCTGGCAAAGGGGATAAAAAAGGTTTTTTCAAGTACATTAACAGTAAAAGGAAGACTAGGGAGATTGTGGCTCCCCTGCTAAGTGACGGGGGTGTTCTGGTAACAGGGGATGCTGAGAAGGCGGAGATACTGAATGCCTTCTTTGCTTCCATTTTCAGTGAAAAAGCTCCCCCTCTGGAATCTGAGACCCTGGAGGTTAGTGAGAGGATCTGGGGAATGGAAGACCTCCCTTCTGTCAGGGAAGAGGTGGTCCAGGAGAGCCTAGGCAACATCAATGTTCACAAACCCATGGGACCCGATGGGATTCATCCATGGGAGCTGAGGGAGCTGGCAGAGGTGATTGCTGAACCGCTTTCTGTCATCTTTGAGAAGTCTTGGAGGACGGGGGAGGTGCCTGAAGACTGGAAGATAGCCAACGTCACCCCGGTCTTCAAAATAGGCAAGAAGGAAGACCCAGGCAATTATAGGCCAGTCAGCCTCACCTCTGTCCCTGGAAAGGTGATGGAACAGCTTGTATTGGATGTCATCTCCAGACAACTGGAAGAAGAGGAGGTTATCAGGAGTAGTCAGCACGGGTTCACAAGGGGGAGGTCGTGCTTGACCAACCTGGTAGCCTTCTATGATGTTGTCTCTGGCTGGGTGAATAGGGGGAGAGCAGTGGATGTAGTCTACCTTGATTTCAGCAAGGCGTTTGATACTGTCCCCCATGACATCCTTATAACAAAGCTGAGGAAGTGTGGGATAGATGAGTGGACAGTGAGGTGGGTTGAGAACTGGCTGCTGGCAGAGCACAGAGGGTCGTTGGTGGTGGTGCAGAGTCTGGTTGGAGGCCTGTAACCAGCGGTGTTCCTCAGGGGTCTGTGCTGGGTCCGGTCTTGTTCAACATCTTCATCAATGACCTTGATGAGGGGATAATGGCCACCCTCAGCAAGTTTGCTGATGATACGAAGTTGGGAGGATTGGCTGACACGCCTGAAGGCTGTGTTGCCATTCAGCAAGACCTGGATAGGCTGGAGAGCTGGGCAGAAAAAAACCGGATGAGGTTTAACAAAAGCAAGTGTAGAGTCTTGCATCTGGGGAGGAATAATTCCATG